TAAATACCCTGTTTCTCATCATACCTTTCCCCATTAATTTTGGCATCAATTAATGGTTCTTGCTTACAACCACCACCATAATTGTGATGTTGGCCTAGTGATGATTTCCCTTTTCCTCTATATTTATTCATTGGAATTCTGCTCTAAGGAAGAGCTTATCTTCTCCCCTATTTATTTATTCAATTTTTTAATATCAGTATGGACATTTATTTTATTCTTTAGGTTATAATCCAATAATATCACTTTTTTTTACTCAAATTTTCTTATATTTGGCTATGAAGAGTTCCTTCAAGTTGGCTCTTGTGTCCTTTAGAGATGCCCTGTCATTTTTTTGAGCACCTCCTTACTTTCTTACACCATGTGATACTCCAGGCTCATCTTGTATGTTTCATGTTCAAGCCCTGAAATGAGCCATTTCTCCAAGGGTCCCAGTCCTTTTTATTAGAGGATTGTATTTAGACACCAATATCTGGATGCCATGTGTTTTCATTGCTTTTAGGCCCTCTCAGCTGACAGAGCTAGGAAATAAATGTTTGTGTAGGTAAAGTACATGCATCTATATTTATTTCTATCCCTGCATGTACACATATAGCTAGATATAGATATAATATATATAAACATAGATACACACAATGCACAACACTAACAACCAGGCGTTCACACTGACATTCCCATTCCAATCCAGCACCGCAGGGTTCAGGCCAGCCTTCCCCCCTACTTGATGATTCTTTCTCTCACATTGGGAGCCTGACTCTCATTAGTCACAATACACAGTTATTAATTCAAACCTAGCATACACATAAAGTAGTTTCAGAATTACTAATTCATATACCTGTGAAAGTAAATTTATTAACTGGAGCACAATATTTGTGGCATAGTTATTTCTGTCTTTGGCTTCACAATACACAACCAAAATACTGTTTTCTAAGTTACTTAGGTTAGTTCTTTTCTTCCCCACTCTTCAGTATGGCTATGTTATCTATTTATATTTTAGTTATGTTCATTTGTTACTGTTTGTATTGCATTGTAGGTTTTCCCCACATCCTGGCTTATTTTAAGTATTTATCTATTTGAGAGGTATGTGAAACCTTATCTGAGCTCTAAGAGACAGAGCTATAAAAAAAAGTATTCTCAAATCCCTACTATCCCATTCCCACCCATTTCCTTTTTTTTAAAGAGATGAAGTCCTGTTATGTTGCCCAGGCTGGCCTTGAACTACTAGACTCAAGTAGCTGCCATTTCCCCATTCTTTCTCTACCCCATTTATATCCAATGTCATTAGTTTCATGTTTATTTTTCCTATATTTCTTTAATACATGTGAGCAGATATATATGTATATTGTATTAGGTCATTAAATATGAAATGTCTGATTTCCAATAAAAAAGTTGTTTATTACATCTCAAACAAGAAGCAGTACAATTAATCAAAGTATTGCACTCAAACTATCGACACAGTTTTGCCATCTTAACAGCTTGTTTATGCCAGCAACGAAGAAGCCTGGATAGCCAGTGGTGATGTGATCGCAAAAGGCGTTTTCCACAATTTGTTGAGAATTGAATATTTTTCCTTGCAAGAAGTGGCCCAAGGCCTGGAAGAAGTGACAGTCAGTTAGTGCAAAGTTCGGTGAATATGGTGGATGGCGGAGAGTTTCCAAGTCCAGTCTCTGTAGTGTGAGCAGCGTTGTTTGTGTGACATGTGGTCGAGCGTTGTCTTGCAAGAGGATTGGCCTGTCTCTATTGACCGATCTCAGCTGCTTCATCCCAAGCACCCTTATCATTTCACCCAATTGGTTGCAGTAGACATCCGCTGTAATCAAGTGACCAGGTTTCATGAAGCTGTAGTGGATAATACCAGCGCTGAACCGCCAAACAGACAGCATTAGCTTTCTTTGAGAAATATTCGGTTTTGGACTGTGTTTCAGCACTTCATCTTTATCCAATCATCGTGCCAAAAGGCCTGCAATTGTCAAAAAGAATCCTTTTCTCATCACATGTAACAATACAGCGTAGAAATGGTTCGCCTTAGTGTTGTGACAGCAAAGAAAGGCCATCTTCGAGACGATTTCTCTTCTGACGCTCATTTAATTCATGGAGAACCCCTCTATCCAGCTTCTTTACATTGCCCATTGGTTTCAAATGGTCCAATATTGTTGGAATAGTAACCTCAAACCTTGCTGCTAATTCACGCATAGGCTGAGATGGATTCACTTCCACTACAGCTTTCAGTTCATCATTATTCACCTTGGTCTCAGGTCACCCATGTGGCTCATTTTCGAGATTAAAAATCACCAGAAGAGAATTTGTCAAAACATCGATGTACTTTGTGTTCATTAGCCACGTCCTTCCAAAACATTTTGTTAGTATTTTGAGCTGTGTGCGCTGCATTGGTTCCACAATGGAACTCATATTCAAAAATAATACGAATTTTTGACCCGTCCATGGTTTCACAAAAACTTGCTCTTAAAAAAAAAATTTGAAAGATAATCACAAGCCAAACCATGTACTTGAAAGACTGAGGATGTACCTTCACAATAAACATAAAACAAGAAGTGTCAAAGTGAAATGTCAGAGATATCAACTGTCAAACTTAGTGCTTAAAGTAATAGGACATTTCATATAAAATAACAATATGATATCTCTTTATTTCTTATAATAAGGGCAGCATACTATAGATATTCTATTTTATATTGCTTTTTTCATTTAACAATGTATCCTGGAAATCACTTCAAATCAATTCATAGATTCCTTATTCTTTTTTACAGCTGTGTAGTACTCCATTGTATGGCTGCATCATTTTTTTTAACAATTCTTCTGTGTATGGATGTTTAAATTGTTTCCAATATTCTATAATTACAAACAATGCTACCATAAATAACCTTATGCATATGTATTTTCATAGTGTTTGGGGTATATCTTCAAGGTAGATTCTTATAGGTGGGATTTCTAAGTCAAAATTTAAGTGCATAGTAGTTCTGTCAGGTATTGCTAAATTTCCCTCCAGAAGGGCTGTCCTGCTTTTTATTTCCACCAACAGTGTCTGGAGGTACCAGATTTGTAAATTAACCTAGGAAGAACTGACATCTTTGTCACATTGAGTCATTCTAGCCAAGATCACAAGATGTCCTTCCACTTGTTATTTGTGTCTTTTCAAAAGTGTTTAAAATTTTTCTATATATAGGTTTTGTACATTTGTTGCTACATATATTTCTAAGTATTTCTTCTTTGTTGCTATTATAAATGGAACTATGTTCTCTTACTGGTTACTGTTTGTATATATGAAGGCTATTAATTATTATATGTTAGTTTGTATCCTGTTACCATTTGTGTTTGAGTTAGCTTTTTCATTGATTCGCTAAGGCTTTCCAGGTATATTATCATATACTATGAAAATAGAGTTTTACTACTTTGTTATCCATTCTTATACTTCGATTTCTTCTGTCTAATTGTATTAGCTAATATCTCTAGAATAATGTTGAACAGTAGAAGCCAAGATAGTGAGCATCCTCACCTGGCTTCTAAACTTAGTGGAGATGCCTCTAGTGTTTTTCCTATTAAATAAGACACTGGCTTTAGTTCCAACATATAAATATTTTACCATATTCAGAAGGTATCCCATTATTTCTATTTTCTTGAATGTACTTTACCTTGCTATTTTGAAAAAAACAAGAGAGAATCAAGCATCTATCCTGCCTTTCTATATTATCTATACCTGAGGGTAACCAAATACAAGGCTGAAAAAGTTTCTCTTTACAGAATTACTAATAAACAAAGAAACTATCAAATAAGAATATCACATTTTGCAACCCCTAAACCAAAGAGTCAATCTAGTTGAAGATCACCAATAGCTTCTACCTTCTCAAAAAGAGAGACACCAGGCATTACATACCTCTTGATGAAAGCACACACCACCATCTATGAAGTAGTCTTGCCAAAAGAGACAGATAGACAGACAGACAACAACAGAAAGAGACAGAGACAGATAGATAACCTGAATCAAGCCTCTAGCTCTAACTACCAAGTTCAAGAAACACAAGAGACAGAGGAAAATGGCAACTACCACCAGAGGGATGCACTCAGTAAAATATAGTCATGGAAACTCTATTGAACAAATGATCTAATTTCTTCAACAAAGAACTTAAGGAGGGGGAAAAAAGAGAGTAATGTAAAAGAAAAATCTATATGTTATTTAAAGAACCTTTATATATGTTTATATAAGCCTATAAATATTTAAAGAAACTTCAAAAACATATCAACTAATTGCAATATATGGGCCTTATTTGGATCCCAATTCAAATAAATTGGTTATAATAAAAACGCTTGTAAGATAATTCAGGAAATAAAAATGTTGACTGGATATTTGATTATATTAAGGAATTATTGACTTTTTAGGTATGTTTATATTTGGGTTATTTTTGTTAAAAAAAGAAGTCTTTATCTTTTTGAGATACATATGAAATATTTACAGGTAAAATGATATTATGGCTGGGATTATGAAGGGGGAGGTAGTATTCATAAAACAAGATTGGACATGTATCGATCTGTGTTGAAGCTGGTGATAAGGTATATCACCTTCATATTCTCTTTATATATATTTGAAATTACACATAACAAAAAGTGTTTTTGAAAATTCTGCATTTATTATATTTGACATTTAGACCAATGAGATCATGTACTGTGGAATGGTGGAAACAATCAAATACATCCCAACCATAAGCAATGGTCACCATTGTCCCTCACTGAACCCCCAATGGCTAAAGGCCAGGTTGCTCCCATGTGCCAGGGTAGAGGGCAATTGGCCACGAAGGCTGCCCCCAGCGTCTACCTCCTGCATCTCTCCCCATAGACACAAGAAGAACCCAAGGTCCCTATAGTGCAGGGGTCCCAAAGGTCATGGAAGCAAAGAGCAAGACGGACTGACATTTTTTCCAGGAGCCCAGTGACAACAGTCCTGCTTTCCTCTCCACCTTCTCTCCCTCCCACAGAGAAAGCCCCAAACTCACGTCATTCTCCGAGGTCCCACAAAGGATGCAGGATTTGCACTCTATGCACTGCCACTTGTAGGTCTTGACAGCCTCGGTCATGTTCAGGGTGAACTGCAGGCAGGTGGGGTGACCTGGAGAAAGCCAGAAACAGCAGCGTTAGGGCCAAAGGGTCTGACCTGTCACCTCTCAACACCACTAACTGAAAACACATATGCCCAACGTGCAGGGAGGGCAGGGTAGCATTGTTTGGGCAACAAACTGGGGACCTAAACAGGGCCCTGCCCACACTCCTCACCACCACCCCCAGTTCCATCAGATTGAGGGCAAGAGAGAGAAATAAGCACATTCAATTCCCCTTGCCCTAAGAGGCAGGTGCCCCAGGGGCGTAACTAGTTGATGAGGACAGAATGTCATGATCGAGAGAGGAAACTGCAGAGCACAGAACACAAGGCAGCTCCGTGAGAGACGCCAGCATTATCTTCTAAGCCCCAGCATCAGTTGTGGCGGGAGCAGCACACAAGAGCCACTTGGATTCGGGCTTTCTGATGTAGGAAGCTGTTCACACTGCCCTGGGGTACCGGTGAGGATGTTGCAAGGATTGTGGAAGGTTTCCAGGGGCAGCATGAGGCACTGTGCTGATATCTAGAGTATCCATGCCCACACCCGTGAGACTAGCAAAAGTCCAAGCCATCAACAGTGACAGGGACTACAGAAGGAAGCAGCCTGGCAGGGAGAACCAAGATATGGAGCATCACAGCAAACAGCTGGATCTATCATTAAAAAAGTGGTCACTGGTTCTAATTCTTTTCCTCCATCCCAAGTATCATGTTAGCCAACCCAAAAGCAAAACCAGGGGAGAGACATTAAGCTGTGACCTTAGAGCACATGGCCCCAGTGGACCACCATCTGAGGTTTGGCCCGCAGAGTTGGACTCTGACCTCAGCCCTAGGCTGCCCAAAGGAGAGACACCTGCAGCGAGAGGACAGTGGTCAGCTGTGGAATGTGAAGACCCTTGACCTTCTCTGTGGCGGGGAAGGGAAACTTGGATGACGTCCCCAGGCCTCCCAGTGCTGTGAACCAGAACGGAATCTGCCCAGAGCACCCAGGCCAAAGCCCGTGACTGGCTCTGTCACAAAAGAACTGACAGCTCTGCCTAATGCTGGGCATTCACCCTCCTCCAGAGCTCCCAGCTCTGCCAAACCCACCACACAGTGCATCGCGCGGCCTCTTTCCTGTGCGGGATTGTGGGCTTTAAAGGAGGATCCTATGACCGGGGCACACCAATCAGGGTTAGCTCCACCAACCTAGTGCCCTCCGCAGACAGGATTCCACATGGCACCACCACCCCTTTGCAAAGCCACATCCCAGCAAGACCCCCACTTGCCGGTTTTCAAATCTTCAGAGAGCTGGTTCCATCATGGCCATTTGGATGAAATGCTGTCTATGCAGTCAACATGAAGACTCTTCAAATTTTGGGCTCCATGGATATAAACCACACTGAGCTATGTCTGAGAGGGTAAGAGGGGGTGTGTGGGGGACGGAGGACCCTGGGCAAGTGCAGATGGAAGCATCAAGGACAGGAAAGGTCCCAAAGCTTGTCAAGGGGGCTGGGTACAAGCATACCTAATGGGGACAACGTGCACTGTGTGGCGGATGGGCACACTGACAACTTTGCCTCATGCAGTACAAAAGCAGCCCATCAACCAAAGCATTTGCACCCTTGTAATATTCTGAAATAACAAAATACAAGTAAATAAATAAATAAATGCAAGCTTGTGGAGGACTTGCCAGGAGCCATGCAACTTGGGGACTCCCATAGCTCTGGACTAATGACCCTCTCCAGGTGACACCACGGTGGTCCCAGAGAGAAAGAAGCCGTACATCAAAAGCCTGGATGAGTAACCAGCTGATACTCTTGAAAGCATCTCAGAGATCTAAGGACACTAGCCAGGGCTGTCCCCTGCTCCAATCTCTCAGAGAGAACACTGGCATGGGAACAGGGGAGGAAGTATCAGTTTGGGTCTCTGGCTGGTGGGGGCCACAGATGCCCTGGTTCTCTGACAGGGCGCCACCAGGAAGGATGAAGAGGAGGTCATGGTGCAAATATCCCCAGAGGCAAGTGCACTTTGCCCAGTTCCATGGCCCCAGGACACCCCAGCCACAACCAGCCGGCTTACAATCACCGGTCACTAACTTACCAAGTATTTGTTGAGCACCTGCTCCGCCAGCCATTGTGCTAGACAGAAAAGATATAGTGGAGAGACGACACCTCGAGCCCTTCTAGTCGAGCCAAAGAGACCTCAGATTAATAGACTACACATATATGTAGTAGTTCATTTGTGTGAGTGGTGCCATGAAGGAAAAGCATAATTGGCAACGTAAAGAACAGGAGAAGCTGAGTCTGAGATGACAAGGACACCTTCCCTGAGGAAGGTCTCCAGGCTGATACCTGGCAGATGAGGAGTTAGCTGAGTGGGAGGGGAAGAATTCCGAGTAAGGGGAACAGCATGCATGGGCCTCTGAGCAGTACAGGAGCTCCAACTACCACAGGAAGAGAAAGGCCGGTGAGCAAGGCTTGGGGCACTAGGAGAGAGTGGTAAGAGGTGGCTGGGACCAGGCTACGCAGGCACTTGCAGCCCTTATTTAAGGTTCTGGGGCTTTAAAGTTATTAAAGGATGTTAGGGGAGGCAGTAACTGAATCCCATTGTGTTTTTTTTTTCATGCTTCATTATGTATTTAATTACATAACAAGTAATCAGGCAAATAACCAATATTATAAGTAAAGATTTTAGATTTTTTAAAAAGTAAATGCTCATCAATCAAGACTAAAATACTGTTACTTTTCCAGAATACAGAATTGGATTCCAACAAAACACTTTTAATGAAATAAGGCACAATGTTCAATAAGGCAAAATTCACAGAGGGCTTGTTAATATAAGATCGCATTCTTTTGTGTGTCCGCCCATTGTGTTTTTAAAGGAGCTTTCTTAAAGCATGAGGGGAAAGTTGGGGTGATGGAGCCATTCTGTGTCTTGACTGTGGTGTCGGTACACATGGGATAAAATTGCACAGAACTATACAGATACATACATCAACACACACATGCGCGTGTATGTGTGGATGTAAAACCAGTAAAATCTGAATAAGGTCTATGATTGCATCAATGTCATTACCAAGTTTCAATATTGTACTGTTATCTAAGCTGTTACTATTGGGGGAAACCAGGCGAAGTGTGTATGGGACCTCTCTATAATACATTTTATAACTTTCTATGAAGCTATAATTATATCAAAATAAATAGTTGAAAAGATCTTTTTAAATAGGGAAACCACAAATAAAAATTTTAATCATCAAGAGAAAAGGAAGGAAGAAAGGAAGGGAGGAAAGGACAGCCTGCTATCTGGGGAAAGAATTGGCTGGGGAGGCGGCAGGATGCAGAGATGCAACAGTCGTTGCCAGGAAACTAGCTAGGAGGCTGATGCAGCTACTAGGAGAGAGACGAGAATGACTAAACTAAGGTACAAATTTGAGAAATAGTAACAAAATAATTGACAGGACTTGACCATTGTTCGAATGTTGGGAATGTAGAAAAGTGATGAGAAACATTCCAAGCTTTTGACCTTAAAACCTAGGTAGATTTTAGTGAAACTGACTCAGTTGAGGAAGACTATAGAAGGATTATAGGGACCAAAAGGAGGAAAGGACCCATTCTGTGTTGAGCATGTTGAGTTTGAGAAGACTGAGACTTCCAGTGGAAATATCAAGTGGATGCCTGGGTTTAGAGTTCAAAAGAAAAGCACAGCCTAGAGAAAGAAATTTAGGAGTTTTCACTAAATAGGTGGTAATCAGAACCATGAGAATTAATGATATTATCTAGGAAAAAGGGAACAAAGGGAGAAAGGAAGAAGAGAGAAACAAGGAGAATAGAGAAAAGGGTCTAGGACAGAGCTCTGAGGTAGTCAGCTCCTTAAAGATCAAAAGAAAGAACCAGCCAAGGACACTGAGAATGGCCAGAGAGGTAAGAAACAAATCAGGCAAGGATGGGGTCACAGTGGCCAAAAGAAGAGATTTTGAGGAGAAGGTGGTCCGCTGTGCGGACTGCCCCAGGTTCTGGGGTTTGTCATTGCTCACTACAGACCCTGAATGAGAGAGCATTGATAGAACACAACAAAAGCTGCCTGACTAATATTTAATAATACACCCTTCAGTAGTGCCATCTTCCTCGGGAAGAAGGTCAGCGCACTCCAGAGCATGACAGGGAACTCAGCGGCCAACTGTGCATCTGGAGCTGGCCCCGTGTGTGTGCTTCATGCATCCAGCAGCACGCTGCAAATGTTTATTGAGAGCCAACTCTGTGTCCAAGTCCTCTTAGACCACTGTGCTGAGTGAGCTCGGAAGACATTTTCTGGGATAGCTTTGGACCAGAGAAGAGTAGCAAGTGGGTTGGGAAACTCCAGTTGAAAGTCACCGAAAAAAATCTCTGGCTTTTCTGTGTTCCCATCTTGAGAAAGTCATCAGCTTCCCAAAGACCTACAACCCCAAGGGAGGGGAACTAAACCCACACAGCCTCCAGCCCCTGGTAAAATGCAGGACTGTCCACCTCCCCAGAATTCAAAACATCACTCAAATGCAAGAGGAAAGCAAGGGATGGAAATATTATTGCAACTTATAAGCCAGGAAGGTGAGGCATAAAAAGTTAAGTCACCCAAGCAGCCATCAGCAGGTGTCAAAAACTGCACCCAGAACTAAATCCTTTTGTCTGTACCACTGTAACAGCTTGGCTATCTGTTGCTTATCTCCAAAAATGGGAGAAATCATTTGCCAGACAAAGCTGCAAGAATGACTTCTCATCTACCATGGAAATGACTTAAACAATGCACACTGCGGAACAAGAGGAAAAGTTTCTAAGGAAAGTGGTAGAAGCCCATTTCTAAGTTTCACTGCTAGAACCCCTTATTTTTGCCCAGGACTAATTCTGAAACTCCTTGAAAGTAAGAGAATAACAGATAGAATCTTTCCAATTCATGGGTGGAAGAAGAAAAGAGGCACATTGCTGTAAAGCAATTTACTTACGGTCACTTGCTACTTGAGGAGTCCTATATTTATCTCTTTTTGTAAAGTTACAAGTCAT